TATATATATATATATATATATATATATATATATATATATATATATACACCACACACACACACAGTGACAAAAAAGGTAAGCATCCAGAAGTGATGGTCAAAACGCTGCAGATCAGCATTGGGTATGTAAATGATTTGATTTGCAAGGAGCTGGCAGGTCTAGCCACCAGACACAGAAGATGCCTCGTAGACGCATTAGACGGCATTACCAACACTTGACGGAGTTTGATAAGGGACGCATTGTGGGTTTGCGTGAAGATGGCTGGTCGTATCGTGCAATTGCCCGGAATGTGGGGTATTCAGATGTCACAGTCGCCCGATGTTGGAACCATTGGGCATGTGAGAGCACTGACACATGTTGTAAAGGTTCCGGTTGCCCAAGACAGACCACACCAAGGGAGGATCGTCGTATTATGGGCCAAGCATTACAGAACCCCATGACATCTGCACCTGCCATCCGGACACAGGTATTGGACTCTCTACAACACCCCATGTCATCCTGCTCTCAACGACTGGCTTCAGCCAGACTACAGGTTCACCGTCTCGTACGTAGGCTGACATTAACACCAGCACAGAGATGGCTGCGTTTAGAGTGGTGTCGTAACCGGAAGGCATGGACTGATGAAGAGTGGCTTCTTATACCGTGAATTTTGGTTCTGCATTACCATGGATGACCGGTGTGTGCATGTATGGCAGCGCTGAGGGGAGAAGACCAATCCTGCCAGTGTTGTAGAGAGACACACCTACGTAACTCCTAGCATCATGGTGTGAGGAGCCATAGGGCAGGACTTCTTGGTGTGAGTAGCCATAGGGCTTGACTTCATGGTGTGAGGAGCCATAGGGCAGGACTTCATGGTGTGAGGAGCCATAGGGCAGGACTTCATGGTGTGAGGAGCCATAGGGCAGGACTTCAGGTCATCTCTGGTAGTGATTAAGGGGACCCTGACGGCACAGCGCTACGTCAGTGACATCCTGCATCCACATGTCTTACCCCTCCTGAGACTGCACCCTGGTACAGTCTTTCAACAAGACAACGCCTGTCTACACACGGCACGTGTGTCTATGGACTGCCTGCGTCATGTTGAGGTCCTCCCATGGCCAACCAGGTCCCCCGAACTTTCCCCAATAGAACGTGTGTGGGATCAGCAAGGACATCAACTGAGACCCAGTGCCAATCTGCAGGATCTCAAGGGCCAGTTACAACAGCTGTGGGCCAACTTGCCGAAGGAGAGGATATAATGGCTGTACAACTCCCTTCAACACCGTATCGCCGCATGTCTCCAGCCCCGGGGGGGGGCGGGGGGTGCCACACCCTACTGACATAGGAACAGCAGTGTGCCCATACTGCCAACTCTGTTGTCCGTTTGACCTGATATTATAATCATATATAATCATTGTGATGCAATCATATGACCTTTCACCACGTGCAAATTTTCATTTCCACTCTGTCTGGGTGCTTAACCGTTATGGTCACTGAGTGTATTTTCATTGTATTGTAGTCGAGGGGATGTTGACCTGGTATATTCTTTGTCTGAACCCTTTCTGCGAAGATAGTCATCAACATTTGTTCTATTCTATTTTTTGTTCCGTTAAAACTTTACACAGTGGAAATAGCCAGTGGTAATAGATGTCAAGCAGAGGGTGGTGATGATGTAGCTGCCTTGACCTGCTCTTTGTTTCTCCTTCTCTGTTCCGTTTGTCTGTCTTAGTTCATGCAGATTCTGTGTCTCACGGTATTCTGTCTGAGTCATCACTGTCAGCACCCCCCAAAAACTCACGACAGTTTATTCCAGGCCTCAAGGTTTTTGTTCTCTGTGTTCATGGTGTCTTGTGTGGCTCAGTCTCTCTGAATTGTTATGTATTCACTTTATTATCGGTCAGTGGAACATATTATTTAATGCCAGAAAAACTTTCAAAAGAAACTGTTCCACTGGCCACAGATAAAGCTTCTGCATGTCTTATTCTGAATTTGAAAATATTTTGCGCACTAATGGTTTCAGTAGAAATGAATTATGCAAGTTTAACTATGACCAATAATTATGTGAATTTTTCACAAATCATATTTTGACAAAAGACAATATCAGGTTATAGGACAATGCACATATCAGGGGCATGAATGTCATATTAATTTTGGGCTTTTCTTTTTCCAAGGTGGAATGATTATACAACATTCATCATCAATGATTTTTAAGAACAAGAATTGGGTGCATATGAATTGAATTGAATATATTTTGGATTATCTGCAATCCATACAGGGTCAAAATTTATACATACAGGCTCAAATATATACATACACACTCAAATATATACATACACACCCTGTCAATGAAAATAAGGTTTATCTGATCTTCATATTGGAATAATTATGCTTGTCAAATCATATCAGCTCAGTCATTTCAAAACCTCTCCTGAAGTTACCTCAGTATTTGCAGCAACCATCCAATACACCACTGTATCTTTTGATTTAACAACTCCCCCTCCTTGTTTGGCTAATCAATACATTATTGAGTTATTTAACTAATAGTGTAAATTAATTAATTGAGCTGGTGCTGAAATTTGACTAATACGTGTGGCTGTGGTGCCCCTGAGGAGAGGTTTGGGAACTGAAGTGATGTTCTTCTAGACAGTCAGCAAGATATCAGTAACTTCTTGAAGAATTCCTGTTATCCTTAATTTGCACATGTTCTAATGTTAAATTGTATTTTTTTGTGAGCAAATATACACTTTCTAACCAGATAGACAGCCTCTTCCACGGTCACGCCCAGCTCCGTCTGATCCTAATGTGTGCCACGCCCACCACGTTACCTCCTGTTTTTGCCTGATTGTCATCACCTGTTGCCTATTCCTTTTGCCTTGTCTTGTGTATTTAGTCCGAGTCTCAGTCAGTCTTCCCCAGATTAATCATTGTAGTGTCCGTAGATGTCCCTACCTGTCTGTCTTTTGACCATTAAAACCCCTGATTACCCATCAGTTCGGCTCGCTCTCCTGCTTCCCTGCTTGCCTTCTTGCCGCATCGTGACAGGCACAGCAATATAAAGTGATATCTGCAATATCCCAAAAAATCTTGAAGCAAGTGCCTATTTTATGTGCGTATTGAATATATTTAACTTTATTATAAATATTAAGTGGTAGCTATGGAGTCAGAATACAGTTCAATTCTTCCATTCCATTTTTAGTTCTTAAATTGCACATTGGGGGCGGCATGGTGGTTAGCAGTGCTGCCTTACACCTCTGGGACCCGGGTTTGAGTCTCTGTCTGGGTTCCATGTGTGTGGAGTTTGCATGTTTTCCCCATGTCGTCGTGGGGTTTCCTCTGGGTACTCCGGTTTCCCCCCACAGTCCAGACATGCTGAGGCTAATTGGAGTTACTAAATTGCCCGTAGGTGTGCATGTGTCAGTGAATGGTGTTTGAGTGTGCCCCGCGATGGGCTGCCCCCCCCCATCCTGGGTTGTTCCCCACCTCGTGCCCATAGTTTCCAGGATAGGCTCTGGACCCTCTGTGACCCAGAAGGATAAGCAGGTTGGAAAATGGATGGAAATTGCACATTGTTTGCATTCATGCACTGAAACAGAGTAGCATTGTATTATATTAGGTAGAAAATACATTTGTTGTAATTCCATTCATGTGTTGCATTTATTTTAGAATATACTATCTACTGGGCCTGATGGTTATGAATCTTTATTGCAACATTGCTGATAGGTTCTGAAAGTTGAAAACAAAATTTGTCCAATTGCCATGATTAAATGTAAGACGTCTACTTTGGTGTAAAATCACTGGCAGTAATTCTTCAAAATCATTTTTTAATTGGTAAGACAGCATATGGAATTTACATAAAATAGCAACAGGTGGCTTTGTTACTTAGATTTTATGGAAAATTAGCAACATTCTGTTAACTTGCTGGTTAGGTTCCTATTAAACAAACCTTACATTTGAATTACTGCTACCTTGCTGATACCTGGTTGCATCTGTTGGGATGGTAAATAGATTTTCCTGACTCATGAGGATGGTGCTACAGGTTGGGCAGTTACACGTCCACAGACAGGCTTGTCCCATGACCTCAGTGAACATCCCTCTCAAACACGGGCTCCAGCATTTCATCAGTTAAGATCATATTCTGAGCACAGCATAAATGCTGCGCTGGTGGTGTTGGTGATGTGAAGCTTAGTGAAGCAAGGAAGCATGTGAGCATGCCATTTGTGCAGCCGAGTGTGTGCAGTGCTTCTCCCTGTGACCGTACACTTCAGGGTTGGGGCCATTCCGAGATGCATTGATCAGTTCCAGTCCAAATCAGGAAATGGAACTGGAGCTGGGATTGGAGAAAAAAAAACTACAGGGAACAGAATTGGAGTTGAATTTGAATTTCAGGGAGATTTAAGTTCCAACTCCAGTTCCATTTCCTGATTTGGACTGAAATCATCAATGCATTCCGGAATGGCCCCAACTCTGGTACACTTCTTGTCTTTACAACCATGTTTCCCAATGCTTCTGAGCTTCTGTGCAGTGCTCTGAGAAGCAGATAAAGCCTGGTTTATTTCTCTGTATGCTCTGCATATGTGCTCAGTAGTCACTGATATTTCTCTGTCTCCCTCAATCTCCTCAGAGATTTTTACATGGAATATTGGCAAGGTTGGTCGTATAGTGCTCATATGTTCTCACTAAAGCAAATGCGTTGTGTAGAATCATGTGTTGCACATTACAGGAGTCCATGGATTTTCCTTCTCTGTAAAAATAGCTTATGGATAAGCACTGATGTTTATTATGCAGCATGCACACCTTTCATAATAACCTGTTTTCTCTCTCTGCTTACAGCTCAGTGGTATGACCCTTTCGACGTTTCTGTATAAATGGATCATCGTGGATTGTGATTTGCTGAATCACTACTTATAAATCCTGATTCATCACAAGCGTTGTCTCATGGAGAAATGTCTATTACTGGAAGAAAGCATCAAGAAAGTGGAAAGAGTAATACTTTTTAAGGCATTTTTAATTTTTTAAATAACATACTATTTTTTCTTATCTTCAGAATTGCTTTACAAATCATTATATAGTGTTTGCAGTTACTGTATTTTGTATCTGAATATTATTTCTCATTTTTAAAGCAAAGATATTTTATGTTCTGTATGATCTTTCATCACACACTGGATATTTTTTTCTAAATCAACCAAAAACTAAAATCTGCCAGCATATATAATGTCTTTCTAAGAATATGGCTAATTGCCACCAAGGGGTAGCGCTTTTCCTGCACACAGTGAGGGTTTGGCTTCCATGCCTGCATGCTCTCACTGCGTCCTGCAGATCTCATCCAGGTTCTCCAGTTTCCTCCTGTGATCCAAAAAGCAGTTAAGCATATTGACACCTCTGGATTGCCCGTAACGTGTTTGTGTCCAAGTGTGTATCCGTGCGTGTATGTGTGGGTTTGTATTTACCACATCGGGACGACCAGATGTCCCCACAATGCAGTAGTGTCTTACTTCTTAGCTTGTGGGGACATTTTTCAGGTCGACATCATCTGTTATGATAATAATAACAATCAATGCTTTATTAATCCCCGTGGGGAAATTGTCTTTACGACTCCCCCAGCTTGCTCTTTGTAGACTAAGCTGTCCGCGAAGGGCAGCCACCTGTTGGGGCGCCCAGGGAGATGGGGGCTTAAGGGCCTTGCTCAAGGACCAGCAGACGTGCTGAGGCTGAGTTTGAACCGGCTTAGGCCACTGAGCCACACTCTGCCCCCATGCTACTGTTTAAACACATTTCCTTATTCTCCTTTATTTAGATTTCTTTATTTTTATTTCAGAGTATCTCCCTATGTTACCTCCAGACAGTCAGCTCTCCTGATACTGCCATTATTATAACAAAGTACACAGTATAGTGATGCACGTCAGGGCAAAAACATGGGCCAGTGCCAAAATTAAAACATTAAGCTTTCACTGGGCTCAACAGTAAATAATCGGTCAGGGTACTAGCAAAAATTAACACTAAAGTAGCCAAATGTCTTGTATTTTGTTTGGTTACTTAGGGTTAAGGTTAGGGCTGGGTAGGGGTTAGGGTTGTCATAGATTAGGGCTATGTCCATAGAAATAGTACAGGTGCGTGTGTGTGTGTGTGTGTGTGTACATGTGTGAGCTGCCTAGGACAGACTTGCTGTGACCCTGTGCTGGATACGCAGTTGGAACATAGATGGATTTATAAGGATTCTGATTTGAATATTTGAATTCCCTATTTGTGATCAATCCAAAGTAAATGTTTTTGCATCACTGTTCTGCAAGCAAAACTTTAGTATTATGTTGATAATTTTATATCTCTTTGGATATCCATAACATGTACAGTATGTTTCAATAAAATGCATGGAAAATCATTTGCCATAGAGGCGTTTGTTAATATGTGTTCCTTTGTTTGGCCCTCTGAGAGCTTATGCTGTATGCCATGGGTAGCAGAGAGAAACAGGAAAGCAAATATTAACGTAAAACTGAACATAATAAAGGTTAGGAGCATAACTAACAAACACAAATGGATGCTGGGACTAAAAATCGAAAATTCAAACTTGCGAGGAAAACCAGCATAACAAACTGCAGACATCAGTCATTTTCAGCCTTTCAATGACATGAACAATGCAGATATTCTGCATTCATATTATACCAAAGTGTCCAGATTAAACTGTTGCTGGAGGTTGTCTGTAACTTTACACCCCATTGAAATGCACTGTTAGCAGTAATGAGAAGATCATTGTTGATAATGTGTCAGTGTCAGCCAGCTTTTTTTTTTTTTTTTTTAAATAAATTCAAAATAATCACAGCTTGGATGCATGGATGGATGGATGCATGGGTGGATGGATAAAAAATATTCTGCAGCTTGCGGTCTGATCTTGAAACACTCGCAGATAAGCTCTGTAGGCTCCCTGACTGCAGAAGCTCAAGGGGTAATTCCAGCCCTCCGTCTGGGAAGGAGTCCATGACTCTCGGGTGTCTGGGTCCTGTTTTTATCTCTCTTCTCAGAACTGGGCTTTCCTGTCATGGCAAAGGTTTTGTGGTTCATGAGTCCTGATTCATCTTCCCGGTTCCCCTGTCCTCGTCCTGACTGCCCATCTGGCTGATCAGGTCTGTGATGCTCCTCGGAGACAGGAGGACAGACTCTATGGACTGACCAAATTGCTGAGTTCATACAGGCAGTTTGATTTCCTTGTTCCAGTCCAGTGTAACATACAGAATAGAAAAGTGATATGTTATTCATCCCTGCGGGGACATTATCTTTTGCCTGTCCCATCTTACTCTCCATGAAAGACACAGAGAAGTAAGAATAAGCTTGGGGGTCATAGCACAGGACCGGCCAGCATCCCGGCACCCCCAGGACATTAGGGGTTAAGGGCCGTGCTTGGGGGCCCAACGGTGGCATCAGCCTGCTGGTGCCAGAATTCATATTTTCTGATAACGGCACAGAAACCAGACGCACAGAGCCACACACAACATATCTACACAACATGCAATATACATGGCAGTTTTTAAAGAGTACTGTAGAGCATGACAGTCAGTGTTTTGTGCATTTTAATGATCAGTGAACCTTGTAAATCATTGCAAGCAATCTATGACAAAAAATGACAGAACTTTGCAGTTCTTTATAGTGTGGGGTTTGATACAACAGCTGGGAATAGGTAGTACATAGACATTCTGCTGATATTCTATAGATTTCTATAAACATATTTCACCCCTGAGTCTAAAAGAAATACAAAGCAATAAGCTTCATTTTTTAGTTGCTATAATTTCAATGGTTTTCAATTTCAAGGTGTCATTACTCAAGTTCAAAGTCAATTCATTAAGTGCAATATCATGGCCATTATGTACCAGTATCTTAGGATTAATTAAGATCATTAATTATCAATAAGAACAAAGACTGCCAGCAATACCTCTTTATTTCAGCTCAAGATCTGTGATTGGTTCTGCTAAATGCACAATGAGCTACTGATTCGCTAGGTCCAAGCAAGGAAGCTTCTCCTCCAATTGGCTCAGCCGAGCTCAGTTGCAGAGATCGGTCTTACAGCAGTTTGCGTCCATCAGGTGCACAGGCCTGCTTTTTATATACGTGCAGTCCCGCGAGGTGGCACAGCGTCGCACGATGCCATCTGTGGATAGGAAGACAAGCAGCCGGTCATGTTGGTGAGAGACAGACCTGCCACGGCCGGGGAAGTAACCATTTTTAATGTAATAACTAACGGCGTCCCGGGACAGGAATATGAGCACGCTGTCATATTGAGGGAATATGACTTTAATGTGACATAACCTCAAGGTAATTTTAATAGGAAGTTTGTTTGTTTGTGAAAGAATTTGAGTGTGGCATGAGCATGCATTTCCCACAGCTGTACAATGACTGTACTCGCATTTTTAACCTTTTTTCTTTCTTTCGCAATTTGTCCATTCTACCAACTGAAGCTGTTTTATTTTTCAGGTTACATCCCCACTGGGTACTGTAACCTGAAGTTCAGAAGTGGTGTCTTTAACATGATGAAATAAATATCAAAAGTCAAAAGTTTGGACAGACCTACCTATAGAAAGGGTTATTTGTACAATTCACTACATTTTACATAGTCATCCACTCATCCATCCATCTGCTTATCCAGTATAGAGACACAGGTGGTTCTGGAGCCTATCCTAAGCAGCATAGGGCCCAAGACAGGAACACCCTGAATGGGACGCCATGTTCTATCATTGCATCAGCTGGCTGCTGGGGCGATTCACTCACAGGCAGGTGGGTACATTGTCATATTCAGGCAGTAGCTGTGAGGGGGGCTGCATTCGATCTCCTCAGGTTGGCTGCAGTCGGGCATCTCTCTGATGTCTATGCAGTGGTTACATTTCAGCTGCTGTGTAACTAAGACAAGCAGACAGGGTATCACTATGGCAACAACCTCAACATCCCATCAGTCCTGCCCTATTCTCTGTTCACTCCTTTACTACCAATCTATATCACTTACATTTTCAAAATGAATTCTTATCAATGATCTTGATTTATACTCCTGGGCAAAAAAATGGCCCAAATTCAAAATTACCTGGTCAGAGTTTGGATTTGAACCCTGTAGAGAATATCTGGCCTCACATTAAACACAAACTAACCAGGAACTGTTTTTCAACAACTCACCAACTGTTTGAAGCCATTAACGTTGAGTGGAACAACATTGACTCTTCTTTCTGTAGAAAGCTGTCCAGAGGTTAACCACAGGGAATAGCTAAGTTACTTTATCAATTTGTTTAATACCTGCTAATAACCTGACTGATTATTTACTGTTGAAACCACTAAAAGCTCAATGTTTTACCAATTTTGGCACTGGCCCATATTTTTCGCTCCGGAGTATATTGCTATATTGTGTACTTCGACCATTAAAAGCTTAATGTATTAGCAATTTTTTCGGTTTGGCCCAATATTTCCCTAGCAGTGCACATTACTGGAGAGTAGGGATGTAATGATATATCTAATATTGTGATAAATATCACACTATGATATTATTGTACCCTACTGGGTAATTTCAGAAATGGTGTCTTTACATGATAAAATAAATGCATCTGACTAACAGGGTACCAGTCAAAAGTTTTGACAGACCTACCTGTAGAAAGGTTTATTTGTACAATTCTCTACATTTTACAATAATCATAAAGACATCAAAAGTATAAAATATCATACGGAATTATGCATTGATCAAAAAACTGTTTTAAAAGATGAGTTTGTTTAGGGGGGGGCAGCTCTGTGGATTGGGATTGGGATTCAAATCCCGTGGTTGGCTGACTGATCCCACCATTGGGCCCTTAACCCCAGTTGCTCCAGAGACTGGCTGACCCCACTGTCTCCTCTATGCCAGTTCCATGAGGTGACCTCCTGGGATGCTTGTTCAGCCGTCCTGAAGGGGCCTCCCACATATGCTGAACACTCATTGGCTGCTTTTCCTTTGCTCTCTGGTCAAACTCCTCCAAACCTACTGTGTTTAGGTCAGGTAGCGAGGTCATGTGATGCAACACTCTACCACTCTCCTTTGTAGATGGCTTGGTGTGTCCCACTTTACCACCTCGGGACTGGAACCAGCAACCTTCTGAGTCCCAATCCACAGAGCTGCCCTCACCCAACAGATTTAATTTTTTTGTTCAGTGCATAATTCCACATGTTATTTTATAGTTTTGATGTCTTTATAATTATTCTAAAATGTTGAAAATAGAACAAATAAAGCTTTATATGGGTATGTGTGTCCAAATTTTTGACTGGTACTGTATTATAATAAATACAACCTACTCTACCTATGTACTACCAATTCCCAGCTTAAAATTAAGTGAATGAGGTTGTGCTGTTTTCTAGATGAAGGCCTCGCTTCAGTTTAGGGATCAGTGAATCAGGGATCAGTGAATCAGGGATCAGCGAATCAGGGATCAGTGGGCACTGGATCAGAAACAAAAGGAATTCAGATGAAGGCTAAAATAGGCTCTACAAGGGACCATAACAGTGACACAAACTTGTAGATTAGCAGCAAAACAGTTTCACCGTCAGTGGGCAGTAAGCTCTTCGGGAACAATAAGCAGAAAGCAGAAGGTGCATCACTCCAGATCTGCATCACGTTCTCAATCCAGTCCTCAGGGACCCCCCCGGCAGTCCATGTTTTTACTCCTTCTCAGGAGCTGGGAGGGAGCAAAAATGTGTACTGGCTGGGGGTCCCTGAGGGCCGGGTTGAGAAACATTCAAAGAGTGTCTGAACAGAACTCACTGCTTTATGATCCAGCTCTGCATGGACATTCATTAGATTCAAACATCCAGCTTCACAGATGTGACACCGCAGTGCTACCTACTGCATCACCTTTTGAAGAACATGTGGAAACTTAAACATTCATTTTTGTGAACCAGCACGGAACATGTGAACCAGCACGGAACTTCTGTTTTTGGCAATAACTTATCAGCAAATCCAGAGATACTGGATGCCACTTCAATTATTATGTCACATTATTTAAAAATCTCAGCATTATACATACTTCAAAATACTAACTTAAGAACATAAAATCTAAAATAAATCTGTCACCAAACCCAAACAAAAATCATGTTGATTTAATGAAATCTGGAACAGCTCATCAAAAAATCTGAAAGTATTTTAAAAACTTGTTAGTTGTAGTTACTGTTCCTGTTTATTAGAGAATATTTTGTGAATTCTACACAGAATGTTTAGCGTCTGTGTATGGGCACGTGATGCAGACTGTTGCTGAAAATGCTGAAAATGACCTTGTCATGTTTTCCATGATTGTCAAGGTGTGAAATTTTGCCAGTCCTGTTTATAAATGATATAAGTACATGGGGAAAAAAATCTAAGACACATTTATTTTAGTCATAATTTCTTTTTTCTTCTGAGAAATTGACAGCATGAAGCCATTTGAAAAATGTCTGACAAGCTGACAAGTTTATGTGAAAATGTGAAACCATATTTATATAATATAGAGCAATGGTCACCAACATGGTGCCCGTGGGCACCAGGATGACCCCAAGGACCACATGAGTCGCCTGCGGACCTGTTCTAAAAATAACGCAACTCACCAGTGAGCAGCGTCTAAAATTTTATCCTGTTGCTATTCACTTTAATCACATTTGCATTTATATAGATTTGAAAATGACAATATCTAAAAAAAACATTTAAAACATATTTATTATACATGAAGTTTAGATAAGTTTAGGAGGGCGTTTCAAACTGGTAGCCCTTCGTATGACTCAGTACCCGTGAAGTATCTCTCAATTTCAAAAAGGTTGGTGATCCCTGATCTAGAGCATTATAGAACACATAATCTTTCAGGAAACCTCACAGCTGTCTGGTGGTGTGAATATTATGGGCAGTATCTAAATATTATGTCAGAAAAGCCAGCTATACTGTGATCACAGTTACTGGTCAGTCTGTTGCTCAAACACACATCAAAAAACTATACAATACAAAGAGCATCTGAAGATTTGTTTTCCTACACAAACTTTTATATACTCAAATTGAATAAAACTATTTACTTGTTTCATGCTACCTGGCACTTATATAAATGTTTACATTTTTTGTAACATAACCAAGCAAACCAAGAATGTTTAACATGCAAACATATTGTTTTGCTGATATCAGAAATTTTTATATATATTGACATAAATCTTTTCACTCACCGTAACAGGCAGAGAGAAGCACACACAATGTAAGCATCCACAATCTCATCCTGCAAGTTCCTGCAACTCCTTAGTGACACCTCTTCTACAGGAAGGAAACAAGCAAGAAAACCCAATTAAATAAGCTGTTGAATATAACCATAGAACAGCATTCAACTTTGCAACATGATTTAAAATTACATTAAAGATTTCAAACACTTAATACAGCTATGAAAATTATGATTAGTTCAGCACATGACTAACTAGCTAACATACCTACTGGAAGGTTGGAATCGGTTGAATGCTGATTGCGAAAAGAAAGGTCTTTTATACTATCTTTTACATTTCACACTGATGTGAACAAGGCTCACTCTTTTCAGTGTATCAAGTAACTGCAGCTTCGTCACTGGGCCCATCCCATTGTCCCAGACTCAAAGGCACTGGAAAAAGTCCCCAATTATGGAAACATGACAATTTGCAGATACTGATATTATACCTAACATAGCTATAACAATAATAATAATCATCATCTACTGCTCAAAGCTACACTATATGAACAAAAGTATTGGGCCACCTGGCTACAGAAACTATTATGACATCCCTTTCTATAACAGCTGCTGTTCTTTTGCAAAGGTTTTCACAACCAGCTTACCCAGCCATGTCTTAATAGATCTTGATTTGGGCACTGGGGGCACAGTCATGCTGGAACAGAAAAGGGACTTCCCCAAATTGTTCCCACAAAGTCGGAAGCATAGAATTGTCCAAAATGTCTTGGTATGCTGAAAGCATTAAGAGTTCCCTTCACTGAAACTAAGGGGCCCAGCACAACCCCTGAAAAACAACCCCATACCATTATCCCTCCTCCACCAAACTTTGCAGTTGGCGCAATGCAACCAGGCAGGTAACATTCTCCTGGCATCCGCCAAACCCAGACTCCTCCATCAGACTGTCAGACAGAGAAGTGTGATTCATCATGCCACAGAACATATTTCCACTGCTCCAGAGTCCAGTGGCAGTGTGCTTTACTGCATCTCTAGCAATTGCCATTGCGCTTGGTTAGGTGAGGCTTGCATGCAGCTGCTCGGCCATGGAAGCCCATTCCATGAAGATCCCAGCGCACAGATTGTGTGCTAGGGAAGTTTGGAACTCTGTTGTTATTGAGTCAACAGAGCATTGGCAAAGTTTGGCACCTCAGCACTGGGCAACCCTGCCCTGTTACTCTCTGCAATCTGCCACTTTGTGGCTGGGTTTCTGTTGTTCCTATACGTTTCTACTTTGCAGTAATACCACACATCTGTGGAATATCTAGCAGGGAAGACAATTCATGAACTGACTTATTGCAAAGGTGGCATCCTATGAGTCTTACATCTTGCCCACCACATCCTCCTAACCCTTCTGTCTCCTCTCTCAAGTGGCCCTAATGGACCATGCCTGATGCTTGTTGCCCCTTATTAGTTTATGAGTAAAAGTTCCTGTTTGTCCCATCTTTGTTAATCCAGTCATTGAAATCAAACCTTCTTGTTGTATGTGCCCTCTTGTGTTCCAGTATTCCCGTTTTGATCCCACGCAATCCAGTTTATTTCTAGTCTTTGTTCTGTTGAGTTCAATAAAACCCCTTTCTGTTTCACCACAACACCCGCTGAATGACTTGAGGGCAGGCGTTTTGGTGCAAAAAAGGGGTAAGGGGTTTAACTAAAAATTTAGACATTACCAATACAATAGACAATAACAGTACAACACTTGAATTCAGTGAGCTCTCCAGAATGACCCATTCTTTCACAAATGTTTGTAAACCCGACTGTATGACTAGGTGCTAGATTTTATACATCTATGGCAATGAGTCTGAATGAAACACCTGGATTCAATGATTAAGAGGTACGTCCCAATACTTTTGTCCATGTTGTGTATTTTAACTTCTGGAGACATTGTGAATGTAATATTTGGTATTCAGATGATGCCTTCTGTATTTGCATTTTGAAAAATAAATGCATAATTCATAAAAGTAATACAAAAAGGATTGAAAGCAAAAAAAAATGAAAAGTGCTTCTTGATGTCCTCTCTCTGTTTCAGTGATTTGACACCACTGTTCATCCCGACGATTCAGGTCATTCATTGTAATGTCTAAATGTTAAGTGCTATTCAAGGAAAAGCCTCTACCTCTTCCTGAAACGAACACCCTATTATAAGAGTAATCAAATATTACTGGGTGTCAGAATACACACCGCATGACTGTGGTAAAAAAAAAAACCTTTTCTTCTTTGCTACTTGTATTGTTACAGATAACCTAAAAAATGAATATGTAATATTGGGTAACATTTTACATCAACTGCACCTTCATAATGCATTCATAGAACATTCATGGAGTGGCATCCTCCATAGGCTTAATGTATGCTAACATGAAGGAACTCACAAAAAAAAAGATAAACTGATTATGCTGTCATACCACACACCAAATTGGCATTAACATATTGTAAAAGTGGGTCGCACAGTCAGGCCTCCAATATTGATCAGTCAAAGACACCATGAGGTGGCGTTTATTGGACCCGAACCAGTCATACTGACAACACACTCGCATTCAGGTGCCCTGAACCTGCAAATATAGCTCATCAGTGAGCTTAGCTGCTGTGGTGGTGGTCAGAAACCACATACACCTCAGGCCACTTTGTGAAGTAATCCATGGCCACGATCATGTAGCGGTTCCCGGAGTCGGTGCGGAGGAAAAGGCATAGGACCCCAAGCCACTCTATGGAGGTGCCCACCAGGTATGGCTGCAGGCGAGCCTGGGACTGCCAGCTAGGACCCTTCCAAGCTGTGATTGTATCGCAACGGTGCACCAATAGCTGGGTGTCCAGCCGGCATCTGGGCCAGTAGAATCACTACCACAGCTTCCTGAGCGTCCTTTTCAGTGATTGGCCCTAACGGCCCTGTGTACTCACCTTAACACAGAGACTCGAACCCAGGTCCCAGATGTGTAAAACAAAAAAAATGGTGCAAATGTATGAATACTAATTGTACATTTTAACAAACCTGATGCATGCTTTTAAAACAAGTTTTTAAAAGTTTTTTGAATTGCTCATCTTGCCAACCCATATTTGTCTCTGACCTGTTATAGTTATCAATACTATTATAAAATGAAAATGAATTCGTGAACCATGAAGCGCGAATGCATGAGGGCTGACTGTACTCTCATAATACATACATACATCTGTGGAAAATATTAAGAGACCACTCTATATTTTTAAACAAATCTGTATTTTTAAATTACGGTTTAATTGTGGTTCTGCTGGCTGAAGGATACGCTGAGCAGCAAGATGCTTTCAGGTTCAACATTTCTAGGACAGCAGGACAGAAGAAGAAGTGAAGCAGGAGACACTGGGAATGACTACAGAGCAGCCGAGTAAAGGGCAGCCGCGACTTTGTAATGCCAGAGATGACCGTTAACTTATCTCACAGTTTCGACCTTCAAAAGGAATGGAAAACATTAAGTGCGGGTGTGAGAAGAACTAATTAATGAGACACAGAAAAACCAGGCTGCAGTTTGCAGAAAAATATATATTATTTACAGATGCAAACCCATAAATTGAGAAATGAGTGAAACAAAAAATTGTCTCATAATTTTTTCCACGGCTGTATATGTTATATACAGAATGGATCATTTAATCCATCTAGGTTAATCCAATTCTCCCATGACTTTGAAGAACCAAAATAGCAGGATAAATGTATCTATAGACAATCTGGGATGAGTCCTCTGATCTTGGATGTTTTCCTCTATGAACGAAGAATATCCACTGGTTATACATAGATTGCCGATAGTCAGTAACGTGATAACAGTTATCTTGGATCACATTTATTTGGTTTGATTAAGTTGGAACTTGTCTTCAAAGCTTTGCTTATGTGATACAAGCCTCTGGCCTAAGGTCCATTTGCTTGGTACAACACTTCTGGGATTCTGGTAGTGCCCGTGATGTTTCTTACCTGATGGCAGTGGAGGACCCTGCCCTCTGCCATGCCCATGACAGCAGCCTGGGGGAGCTGATGGCCCTATAACCCTGACCTCATCATGCACCCATCTCCTCACACCCTCCAAAAACACTACTACCCATATGGGTCCAATGCTGCCATGGTGATCAACAGGCCTCATCAGCAAACTTCTTGAATTCTCGACGTATGAGGTGACAGCTGTCATGCACTTGTGTCTCCTTTTCCATTCTCATTAGCAAGACGAAGGAGCTGGAGGTGGACTTCCAGCATGACAGGGAACCCCTGAGTCCAGTCAAAAATCAGTTGGAATACTAAGTACTGAGCAAAACTTTTGCTTCAGGGCCTTGTTATTATTTTTTTATTTTGTACCTGTGAATGATGGAAATAAAAATGTAACCTTGCTTAAAATATGAAAGTAATTTGTCATCTTTAACTTTATGCCTTTTAGTGATCAGTTCATCTTCTGCTCACTTAACTATTCACAGTAACAGACATTTTAAGCAAAGGTGCCCAAATTTTTGCATGCCGCTGTATGTGGCACCAAAATGGCGCACAGCTGAAGTGGAAGCTCAGGACCAAACCTTACAAACTGTATGTTGTGTTTTGGTGGAACACAGATTGTACATTTATTTATATTTTGCGAACTGCAGACCCAAAATTAAAATAAAAAAACACACACAAGCAAAATTCTGCTTCTGGTTTGCTCGTCTTCTGACATCATCATACTGCTTTCAGCACTGCGCAGATGATCTGGTGATGTCATAACATGAAGACACACTCGCTGCTACCTCCTCCCACGCCTGCTTCACCTCGAAAGGCTTAGATCGATTTCAGTGCTCCTGTAGACCATGTGCATTTTCACCTCACGCAAAAACATGTTTGTTTCCTCGGACGAAAGCCGATCTGGTTTGCTGGGCAAACATGCCGTTAAAACAGCAATCTGCTGTAGTTCATGTGCAGCTGCCTTTTAAAGGTGAGGTGAGCTAGGACAACCTTTTTATGTCTTGTGCTGGCGCAAAGTCTTTTCCACAGTTAAAAGAGGAAAAATATTGAAGGGCGTGTACAAATCTTAGCTGCATCAAAATAGAGCCCTTTGCATAAATAGTATTGTCCTACTGAAAACTTCCTGTAATTCTGAAGTTAGGCCTAAATCTCTCTGCAACTGCATTACAAGGGAGGGGGAGTTGAGGAGAAAGAGAGAGCATAAGGTTATTAACCGCACCAGCAGAATTAGTTGTAAGGTAGCATTTAGTTACATTCCTCTCATTCCTGCTCATGGTGCACAATGACATCTGAAAACACACAATAGTAGTCAGAAACCAAAACATCTGATATCCAGGAAACCTTGATGAATTTCAGTTGATCTCCAAATTAAAAAGCAATAACTATTAAATGATCCACTCTGTGATGGCCAGAGACGGCCACACAATGGTAATATGGTAACCCCGCCTTGAGCTGCATGCACAAGTACTACTTGAATATGTTTTACCCAGGTTTCATTTATATGCATTTATACATGGTTTGGTTTTTCATCACTATTCTCATGAAACACACAAGGCACATTTAATCAATTTTATTTGTCAGGATGTTCATTTAACGAGGTACGGTTGTGACATTTATGTGTTTATATTCTTAAGTTGCAGTTGTCTGGAGGAGTGGAACAGCTGGAGTTGGTGCGTGCATTTTTTCGGTCCAGTGGGCCAACAGCCTAGATCATCATGGTTCCCCTTAAATTCCAATCGGTGGTACCAACAGGTGCCTGCAGTAGGTGGATGGGAAGTTGGGTTTTGGCATAGTTGTTTATTATATTCTAGTTAACGTTTTTGATTTAGTTTTTCTTTATAAAATTGTTTGTATAATTTGATGGGCTAAATATATTATGGGGTTTATGGGTTTATTGGCATGTAGGTATAAATGTTATGGCATGTGTTTCCCCCTTGTGTGTGTTGCTGGATCACCCAGTATATGTTTCCCCAGTGTGTTATTTGGGAGGTCAGTTATGTTCAGTTCAAGTTGAGTTATATTATGCTTTAATTTTGATTTCATTCTGTTTGGTTGACCTCATTTTATTGAGCCCAGGATTTTCCTTTGTTGAATATTCTTTTGTATTTTGATTATTTTTGCATTTTCAGTAAAGTTTGGGTTAGTAACACATTCTGTGCCCCTGTGTCTGCTTGCTATTCCCTCACACACTCAGTTTAAATTAGATATTCAAGTGTCATTAATTCAGTGCAATTTTTCAACAGTTTCTAATTTTAACTTTTGTAGTAGAAGACTACCTTCAATATGCAAAACGACGGCACAGCAAGAATTTATCTAGGCACTTCAGCAACAGCAGAGATGCACGGTCTCTCTGGCGTGGCATCCAAACCCTCACAAACTATAAACCCCCACCACAGACCTGCAACAGAGACATTGCACTGCTCAACTGTCTAAATAACACAAAAGAGCACTCTGGCACAGAAAACCATCCCCCCCCCCCCCGGGGCGAGCGGGCCATATGTGTCCCCAGCCAGCGTAAAGAGAACCCTCTCTAGGATCAACCCACGTAAGGCAGCCAGACCAAACATACCTGGTCGTGCTCTGAAGGACTGTGCTGAGGAGCTCAAAGATGTCCTTATCTTTAACATCTCCCTGGACCAAGCTGTTGTTCCCACATGCTTTAAAGTCACAACTATAATTCCTGTCCATAAAAAGCTCCTCCCATCCAGCTATAATGACTATTGGCCCATAGCACTCACTTCGACCACCATGAAGTGCTTCGAGCGGCTGGTCATTACAGAACATTAAGTCCATCCTTCCCCACCAACCACATTGTCAAGTTTGCAGATGACACAACCGTGGTCGGTCTCATCACCAGTGTTGGGGGTAACGCTTCAAGTAACGTGCGTTACGTAATAATATTACTTTTCTTAAGTAACGAGTAATATAATGCATTACTTTATAGATTTACACATTAATATTTGAGTTACTTTTTTAAAAAAGTAGCGCGAGTTACTTTTCTATTTTAATTAATTTGCTTAAAAAAATATTTAATTAAAACGAACGTAGTCACGTAGAATCACGCACTCAGTGCTGCTTTGAAAATGCATTCCGAGCTGACCACGCCCACCATACGGCAATCATTGCGTCAAGGCGGGGATTGGCGGAAGCGCGTTACGTTTAGATCGTTTGAAACATGGCGGCTGGAGATCTGATAATTAAGATCGTTGAATTCATTGGCAGATGAAGTGGAGCGTGAACAGAGAAATAATGTTTTTGAAGCATCATAGAAACACATAGACTGACTTGAATAATCTGATAATAATTGAACTAAGGAATTCAGATCACTTGAGTAAACAAGAAATTTCACAGAGGCCGTAGGGTGGGCGTGGTCAGCTCGGAATGCATTTTCAAAGCCGCATTGAATTTTGCTACGAATATCCCACGGCGTCAGGATGAAAACTAATTTTTGTTTGAGGACACTTAGTAGAAAACTCAAGAGTTTTGGTCTATTGCAATCAGCTTATACATTTGTTTAGGCTATGTCAAGCAATTTTTCAAATTATAGCTGAAAGATTTATGTTTAATTGGGGATGTTGTTTGTTCTGTAGTACAATTTCATTGTTCTCTAAAAAGTTATTAAACATTTTAAATGTTTAAGATCTGTCTTTTGCCCTAATATAACTTATTTCACAATGGCAATTATCTAGCCTATATTGCACTCTTTATTATCTCACTGGACAGTGAATTTACTTTATGTAGGCCATAGCCAACCAAAACAAAAATAAAAACTTACATTAATTTTCAACTTTCAATAATTAATGTTAAGAGATTTTTTTTAAATGGCATGCATAGCTCTGAAAGTTCTGAGAATATTATATAATTATTATTATTCTATATATGTGTTTTTAAAAGAAAATGAAATAATAATAATACTCTTTGTAGTGGCACCCAGGGAGCTGGGGGTTGAGCTGAAGGACCTGCAGATGTGCTGAGGCTGGGCTTTAACCGGTGACCTTGTGATTACAGGCACACGGCTTAGCCCACTGAGCCACACGCTACCCCTTAAGGTGAGGTTATAAAGGCTGTTGTTGAATGCTGAATTTCTTAGTCAAAAAAACACATCTAAGGCCTGAATAACATAAAGCTTTAGCCAGGTAAGAAATAAGTAACACAAAAGTAACTCAAAAGTAATATAACACATTACTTTCCATAAAAAGTAACTAAGTAATGCAATTAGTTACTTTTTGGGGGGAGTAACTCAGTATTGTAATATATTACATTTAAAAGTAACTTTCCCCAACACTGCTCATCACTAACAATGACGAAGCCAACTACAGGAACGAGGTGAGCCAACTAGTCCAGTGGTGTAAGGACAACAATCTGATCCTGAACGTGGGCAAGACCAAAGAGCTCGTGGATCATTTCAGGAGGGGTCATTCACAGCACCCCCCACTGATCATCGACGGTGCAGCTGTGGAGAGGGTGAGTAGCACCAAGTTCCTGGGGGCGTACATCTCTGGAGGACCTCTCCTGGTCAGACAACTCTCCCTCTTCAGCCTCCTGCCCTCTTCAGCCTTCATCCACCAAGCTGTCAGGATGCTGAACTCTGTCCACTACCACACCACCCCCCCTTGCCCCCTGCCCCTGGACTGTAACAAGAGAGTCACTACTTACCAAGTACCCTACAGTATGTAGCCGCTACCATATAAAGTCTCAATATTACTTCTGCTGCTAACTGTCTTGCATCTCAAAAAATGCTCCAAAAATGCACCTCTTCACAAGACTGTAACTGGTCTTTTGCTGTTTTTGACTTTTACATATTGTACAGATGGTATTTATCTTGTATACTTTTATATTTTTGCACTACGAAGAGGAGAGAGAAACGACATTTTGATTCCCTGTATGTTATGGACATATAATGAATTGACAATAAAAGGCTATTTGATTTAATATATTGTAACAAACTGTTTTTGTATTTGTAAAACAAATACTAAACATCAACAGGACTGATGCTGGGCACCTAACAAAAACGCTTTTCACAAAAACATTGAAGAACATATTTATTGGGCTTACTGTGATAAACTGTCAACTGTGTGAGTCTTTTGGTGTCTCTGTATATGTCCTAATCGACTGAAGCTCTTCCCACACTGGGAGCACTGGTAGGGCCTCTGCCCTGTGTGTGTCCGCTGGTGTCTCTTTAGGGTTCCTAATAGTCTGAAGCTCTTCCCACACTGGGAGCACTGGTAGGGCCTCTCCCCTGTGTGAATCTGCTGATGTTTTTTTAGGGCTCCTGACCAAAGGAAACTCTTCTCACACTGGGAACACTGGTAAGGCTTCTCTCCTGTGTGAGTCTGCTGGTGCTCCTTTAGGTTTCCTAACCGACTGTAGCTCTTCCCACACTGGAAGCACTTGTAGGGCCTCTCCCCTGTGTGAATCCGCTGGTGTTCGTTTAGGTGTCCTAATCGACTGTAGCTCTTCCCACACTGGGAACACCGGTAAGGCTTCTGCCCTGTGTGAGTCTGCTGGTGCTCCTTTAGGTGTCCTAATCGACTGTAGCTCTTCCCACACTGGGAACACTGGTAGGGTCTCTCCCCTGTGTGAGTCTGCTGATGCTTCTTTAGGGTTCCTGACCGAAGGAAGCTCATCCCACACTGGGAACACTGGTAGGGCCTTTCCTCTGTGTGAGTCTGCTGGTGTTGCTTTAGATGTCCTAATCGATTGAAGCTCTTCTTACACTGGGAACACTGGTAGGGCCTTTCCCCTGTGTGAGTCTGCTGGTGTTGCTTTAGATGTCCTAATCGATTGAAGCCCTTCCCACACTGGGAGCACTGGTAGGGCCTCTCCCCTGTGTGTGTTCGCTGATGTATCTTTAGTGATTCAAAATGACTAAAGCTATTCCCACACTGGGAGCACTGGTAGGGCCTCTTTCCTGCATGAATGGACTGGTGTTTCTTTAGTGATTCAAAATGACTAAAGCTCTTCTCACACTGGGAGCACTGGTAGGGCCTTTCCCCTGTGTGAGTCTGCTGGTGCCCCTTTAGAGTTCCTAATCGACGGAAGCTCTTCTCACACTGAGAGCACTGGTAGGGCCTCTCCCCTGTGTGAATCCACTGGTGTCTATTTAGGTGTCCTAATCGACTAAAGCTCTTCCCACACCGTGAACACTGATAGGACTTCTCCCTTGTGTGAATTTGTTGGTGTCTATTTAGGTGTCCTAATCGACTGAAGCTCTTCCCACACTGTGAACACTGGTAGGACTTCTCCCTTGTGTGAATTTGTTGGTGTCTATTTAGGTGTCCTAATCGACTGAAGCTCTTCCCACACTGTGAACACTGGTAGGACTTCTCCCTTGTGTGAATTTGTTGGTGTCTATTTAGGTGTCCTAATCGACTGAAGCTCTTCCCA